CCTTGTTTATGTGATATCTTGAAATTTTTGCTATCTAGGAAGTTGCTGTCTTTGTTACTGTTTTGTTTTTTCTATCTACAGAAACGAAGATCGATGACACTGACCAAAAAGCTACGAATAATCGAAGAAACTGAGAATGGTCTGAGTTGTTCAACAGTAGCTAGGTTGCACTTAGCCAGTGAATCATCTATGAGGACCATTATTTCTCGCAAGGATAAAATCAAGGAAATGGTGGGCTTAGCGCCCAATGTGAAAGATCAGTATCATTACCCAAGCAATCCGATAATGAAAAAAAAAAAATAGAAATTGCATTGACGGTGTGGATAGAAGATATGAATTGCAAAAAAATTGCCTGTTGACTTTCTTGCCGTTCAAGAGAAAGCATTGATTTTTCACGCAAATTATCCTGAAGAATTCAAGAGCACGACCGGAGAAGATGCTAAACATTTCTTTGCCAGCAAAGGTTGGTTCAACCGTTATAAACAACGAAACTAGTTGCACAATGTACGTATGCGCGGAGAGAAGGCATCGGCTGATGTCGTATCAGCTGCCATATTTCCACGAACATTTTCAGAAATAATCAAACAAGGCGGATACAATCGAGAGCAAATTTATAATTGCGGTAGGACCAAACTTTTTTTTTATCGGAAAATGCCTCAGCAATCTTACTTCGTTGAACATCTTAAAAGTTTTCCAGGGATCAAGACCGATAAAAAAGGGTACACTATACTTTTCTGTTCCAATGCATCGGGTTCCCATATGGTCAAACCGTTCGTCATCGGTCAAGCGGCGAATTCAAGAACGCTCAAGAACATCAGCAGAGATCAGCTACCGATACATTATCGAGCTAACAAAAAGGGATGGATGACCTCATCCCTTTTCTCGGACTGGTTTAGCAACATTTTCGCTCCAGATGTTGAACAAATGTGTCGGGACAAGGACCTCTCGTTCAAAGTCCTGTTGGTGTTGGACAACGCGCCCAGCCATCCCCCCCCCCCCCATTCGAACATCGAAGTGACTTACCTCCCTCCAAATACGACTTCCATACTACAGCCGTTGGATCAAGGAATAATCGCAAACTTTAAGTTGCGTTACATCCATCATAGCTAGCTGCAAGAAGTTCACTATCAAAGATAAGCCTTCTACGCTCAAGAACTGGTGGAATGCTCTTTTAACACCTGAAATCAGCGGAAATGTCAATGAAACCAGCAACGACAATGCAGACGTCTTCCAAGACATTCGAGCTCTAGGACCGGCACTAGGAGTTGTTGATATGACCAAATATATCATATTAACGATATGATCCATTCATGCCTTTTCCAAATATTGCAATGGCGACCCGCAAAATATTGCTTCACGCACCATCTAGTGTTGAAAAAGGTCAGCAACAATCATTCAATTACAATCGAGGGGTGCGAATATAGCACTTATTACAAAAGAAAGAGTCACATTATTTTCATTAATTACATTGTGTATATTATTTTAAAATTTGTCTGATATGTCACTGTTGTCATCAAATAAAATAATATGCTGAAATGCATTCATTTGAAATATTAAACACATTTTCATTTAGGTTACCCCTCGTGACGATAAACAAATACATTGGTAGCCTTTTTGGCCACAGAGGTGCTTTCATCGCTAAAAATTTGGTTCGCCAGCTAAGCGAAAGAGTGGATCATATTGTTAATATAATATATTTGATATGACGCAAGCTGAGATTTATGAACTGATTGCAGAAAAGGAAACAACGGTTGAAGAAGTACTTAAAGATCTTGAAACTCCTGGAAATTTGGATGATAGCCTTGAGATGCCAGCACCAAGCGCTCAAGAATTTAAGGACCAACACCAAATACTAACCGAGCTGAAGCGCTTTGTCACTCTCGACACGAACAAGGAGCGCCGGACTAAGGCTTTCGAATTGCTGACGGAATGTGAAAGCCTTCTTTCGGGATGGAAGGAAGAAACTGAGATGTAATCGTTTGAATTTTTTTATATATATGCATCAATTGTAAAAAGTACTCTATCAGAAACCGAAGTAAACATTGATTGATCAAAAACCAAATTCTCATTTAATTTTTTTTTGTAAACGAGAAATTTAACATGTCAGTCCACATACTAAACGTTACAAATTTCCACAAAAAGGATTCTGTGCTTCGTTTTATTTCCTGATTATTTTTTAAAACCATACCAAATATGATTGTTATTTAAATTTCAACTATCTACACGCAAACTAAAAATAGCAGCTGGGTGAAAATTACAAGGGAATGATAGAAGTGATATTTCTGAATGACGAAGTCAACTCTCCTTGACTACTTTACATGTTGGACTTTTGTGTTGCTCGAAGTCGTCTTCTGCAGCAAACAATGTTTAAGGGCAGATTTCATAATGTTATATTTTCCTAGGTTATATTTGAATGACAAGTTCTTGTTATAAAGAACGAAAAACATCTCACATATACAGCAGCAGGACGAAATTGCCGAATTATCAACTAATTTATTCTTAAAAATGAAGGTCTTGGTCCACTGAACAACTTTGCCGGAGACAGCAACTTCCTAGATGGCAAGGATGTCAGGAAATTACATGAACAAGGAAATTACAAATTCAAGCAAACTAGTGCCACGTAGTTAGAAAATTCTGAGCTTCTGTTCACCAATCATTAGCTCTTGATTCAATGAAACTTTCTAGATGGAAATAATTTCAAGATATAACATAAACTAGGAAATCATAAATTCAAGCACACTAGCGCTGCGTAGTGAGAAAATTCCAAACTTATGTACACCAACCATTAAGCTTTAATCCACTGAACAACTTCACCCAAGACAGCAACTTTCTAGATGACAAGGATTTCAAGATATAACATAAACTAGGGAATCACAAATTCAAGCACACTAGCGCCGCGTAGTGAGAAAATGCTGAGCTTCTGTTCACCAATCATTAGCTCTTGATCCACTGAACAACTTCGCTGTAGAAAACAACTTTCTAGGTGGCAATAATTCCAAGATATAACACGAAAAAGGAAATCACAAATTCAAGCACACTAGCGCCGCGTAGTGAGAAAATTTCAAACTGCTGTCCTCCAACGATTAGGTCTTGATCTACTGAACAGCTTTTCCCAAGACAGAAACCTTCTATATGTCCAGAATCGCGAGATATTCTATGTTGGTCCCTATTAGGTCAAATCCCATATGCTACGTGTACTCCATATACGCGAATCCCTCGCGTAAACGGAATCATTCGAGACCAACGTAAATGGAATTCGTGTGGACCGAGTTCGCGTTCTTCGGGGGAAGAGTGTAACCTTCTCCACTTTGACCAGTACTAAAACTGAACTGAAAATTCTCGAAGCAAAACACTTGCATATACCACTCTTTCGATCACTTAATAGTAGCATGCGCATGCTAGGTACTCGACTACTACTACAAGCTCTCTGTTCTTTATGCATGGCTCATACAGGAGATAATCAAAATAACTGGGATAGGTTCGATTTTAATTCTTCCAAAGGCATTCAACTGGAAAACTAAAATAGTTTTATAGTGTAGCCACGAAAATAAACATGATCACCGGTTACCGGAGATATTCCATGTTTCCGGAGGGCTTGTCTAGCTTGCTAAATTTTTGAAGTTATTTTCTATAGAATGCGGTTAAAAATCAACATTTTTTTAAAAACCAAAAAAGAAGAACTATTTTCAAAGCGAATGATATGTCAAGAACTAGAATCGGCTTATAATTAACCGAGATATGATCATCTCCCTGGAATCGGTTTTGATGGAGGGTTTTGATTGCGGTCTGATCTTTTAATCACTCAAAACACCTTTCTTCATAGTTTTAATTCAATAGCCTTTAATAGGCTCTAAATGCATCATTGACCACATAAGCCGCTTTCGAAACCTCCGGGATGCCCCCGAGGGAACCTGTAGCATTGCATTTCTACATCATTCTTCATCATTCTTCATATTTTTTTTTCATAAACATGCTTTCCATAAACTTTAGATGGATCAATGACCACATTTACCGCTCTTGAAGCCGCGGGAACATGTAGCAGGGGACATTTGTGCTTTTATACCAAAACATGCCTTGCGACAACTCATTATTCATGGGTTTTCATGAATAGGCTTTCGATAGGCTTTAAATGTATCGTTGACCACATTTACCGCTCTAGGAACCTCCGGTATACCCCTAGGGAACCTGTAATAGGGGATAATTGCGGTTTTACACCAGAACATGTCATGAGGCACCTCTTTCTACATGGTTTTTCATGAATGGGCTTTTGATAGGCGTTAAATCAAACATTGACCACATTGGCGACTCTTGGAACCTCCGGAATGCCTCCGATAGGACCTGTAGCATGGGAAAATGCCGTTTTTATACCAAAACATGCCGTGCGACAGTGGATATTCTGGGTTTTCGGAGGGCTTGTCTAACTTGATAAATTTGTGATGTGATTTTCTATAAGATGCCCGTTAAAAATCGATATTTTTAGTAAATTCACAGACACAAGAAACATTTTAAAAGCAAAAAAATATGTCATGAACACAAATTGACCTATAACCATGCAAGATATGGCCATTTCCCTGGAATCGGTTCTGATGGAGGGTTCGGTGAATGATCAGATCTTTTCAGTCAAAACATGCCGGGCGACGGCTCTTGCTTTATGATTTTTAATCAATATGCTTTCGATAGACTTTAAATACCGTGCGACAACTCTTTCTTCATGGTTTACCTCACTCATCATCGAAAAATATGTTTAAGCACACGATAGTTCGGTATGATTTACTATCTTTCCATATGATTTTCATATTACTTTTGCTGACACAATGATTATTAACTCCATTCAACCCAAAGTCAAACTCAAAAACTGCCTGACTGAAAGTGTCGCGAGAAAAAAAGAGCAAGTCATCACACCACCACTACCGTACAATACACCACAAGCAATCGAGGTCATACAGGAAAACAAAAGGGAATCATAACATACGAAATTTATTTTAATCAAATAACTTTACTCCATACTTCATCTCATGCTCGCTAAGGTAACTAAACAGCCACTTTTCGTCTCCTTCACAGGTTTCTGTATTACCATACCCGCAAACACCGATCGATGGATAGAAGATTTCATCTTCGTCGCAAGTCTCAACAGTTGGCTGTCCCATAACACAGACTATATATTTTGTGCATTCCGTGGGATGAGGTATAATTTCGACGATAATTCCCTTGCAAATATCTTTTGGAATATCTCCATCTAGTGGTGGTCTAGTTGGTGGTAATGCTGTAGTAGAGTTTGAATCACCACCACTTCCTCCACTTCCTGGCTCCCAACATTCTACATTTTCAGGAATATCACACACTTCTCGGACGTGATCGAAAACAGTACCTTCCGGTAGACATTGAACTTCTTCGTCCTTTACACCTCCCTTACAAACGACATATTTTGAACAATCAATTGAAGGGGCTAGCGCTCCATCGGCTTTTCCTTCACATGTATTTGGGCCATCGGAACCCCAGCAGATGACATTCGCTGGATGATCACAAATTCCACGCTGATAATCAAAGAGAGTTCCATCCGGAACACAGGTAAATTCTTCTCCAAAGCGTCCACCTTCACAAACAATGAAGTTCGCACAGTTTTCCGAAGGAACGATCGTACCATCATCCTTGCCAGCACAAAGATCACCTTCCCAGCATTTTACATTTTCTGGATAATCACAAACGACTCGTTCCGGGTCAAACATCGTACCATCTGGTCGACAGGGTTCTTCGAGTTCCTTTCCACCTTCGCATATTACGAACATGCTGCAATCATACGACGGAAGAATTGTGCCATCTGCTTTGTCTGTGCACCGGCTGGTACCACCTGTTTCACCACTTCCTCCATCAACTTCACCGCCTCCATTATCATCACCACCTTCACCACCGGTATTGCCACCATCCTCTGAACTGTCCTTGCATTGTTTACTTTCTTTGCTATCGTTGCACTCTTCACTAGATTTGTGTGCAACTGCAAGCCCAACTACCAGCAACAGCAACCCAAATATGCGCCAAAGCCTCATTGTTGATTGTTCCTATTATCGGAATATTATTGAATACTGCCAACGACCGTCTATCGAACGCAGTTTTATAGTGATTATTATGTGGCTTATCAATGACGCGTGTAGTAATGTTTAATCTGGTGCTTATCAGAAACCAAACACCCAAGATAAATCACAGCTTTTTGTATTTGATGGAAAAGTTGAAAGTAATTTGAACTACTTAGGAAGGTTTCCATTAAATTTTGTTTCTCTCGGTAGTAATTAGTGCTTAACAAGCGTTCTTTCATTAATTTCAATTCAGCTTTCCTTCAAAGAGCTGTCTAGAGCCTGCGGTCTAGACGTATCCAGAGCCTTGTTCGTAGCAGACATTCTTCAGAACACAATCGATTACCCCGCCGTTCTGCAGGATATCGCCATAAATGTCCAGCCCAGAGCCCTACGGAACAATCATATGCTGCGCTTACCTTTACGCCGGACAAATTATGGGATGCATACTGCTATCGATGGCATTCAAAGGATCTTCAATAGAGTCGCCTCAGTATTCGACTACGATATCCCTCGCCTTACGCTACGCCACCGTTTTACTGAGGTCTTTTCTGAAGCGAAGAACAATTGAGGAAAATTCCAAGATCTTCTTTTATTATTATTATTATTAGTGTCCAGTGAGTGTTTAGTTTGTTTTATGTTTTTCTTTTACCACTTAACTTATCAATGTTAGTCTTAAGTAAAACATCATGAGGACCAAAATGGTCTGTTGATGTAGACATCCATCTAAATAATTAAATAAAAGTCAACGGCATCTCCTAGGGTGGGCGGGCACTTATGGCCCTTTTTGAATCATGGTATTAGAGCGTACGGGCCTTGAGAAGTTTTCGGACACGGGAGAATCTAACCGACACTACGGCAACGGTTAAATACTTTTTTAATTATTTTTCTGGCACACATCGAGAAGGAGCAGTGGGTGGCGGTGACGAAACGGGCGGGGGGATCATGGAAGAGGTGACTGATTGTTGTAATGATACGGGCCGGAGGCGTAGCTACAACCACAGCAAGGGCGATGGCCTGGGAGTGGTGGAAATACGGGTCGAAGTCCTGGCAAAGGCCACGGCAATGGCAATAGTCTGATGTTGTCGGCCTGAGTTTGAATCTGTTCACACTAAGAAATTATTACCGTATTCGGTAATATTTTACCGAACTTTGAACAGCTGAACGTTCGGTAATCTTTTCGGTAAACGAAAGAACTACCGAACGATCGGTAAACAGATTTTTGGATTATCTGTCAAAACTACCGAACAATTCGGTGATTTTATAAAGAACAATTCAGTAGCTATTACCGAACTTCCGTAAAACGAGAACGAAATCTTTTTAATCCTACTACTTTTTTCGATTAATTTGTATTGAATTATCTTTTTACAATAATAGTTATTTGATAGTTTTTATTGAGAAAATTTTGCCAGAAGGGTTTGGTGCGACATTTAAAACGGAAAATGACTGGATGAAAATAGCGAGCAGGAGATACTCAGCATATGAGGCGATCGTTTGGGCCCTCCAAGAATGGTCTTCTGACAAATAGAACGGGTGACATTGTATTTTGGATGGTAAAAATTTCTTCGGTCCATAAAACAGTAATTGTTATGTGAATTATTTGTTGCAAAATACTTCTGTTTATAGTGTTCACTCGGCTGTCGACAGAAGCAGACCACTCTCAATGTGTGTCACGCGATCGTCTGTTTACTCGGCAGCAATCATTGTAGGGGTAGGGGTAAGAGGTGGGACCATCATCATCATCATCATCATTCAGCATCATCATTCCCAGTCTGCAATGATTTATCAATAAGGTTCAGTAAGATGTGGAAAATGACATGATTTTTTTTTTAAATCTTTATTAAAGAGATTTTTAGCCTTAGGCTAGTTCATCTCTAACCAATGACAAGAAAGCAATCTTGAATAACTCTTGCATTAACATTATCTACTCCAGCCGCTTTTCCTATTGAAAAACAAATAACTCTAAGTTAATCTAATGTTATTGGGTGAAAACCTTCAAATGTACAACTACTTTTTACTGGCTGTATTATTTCGCCAGGTTCATCGACCAATTAAATTTATTGATTAATAAATGAAACACTATAAACAAAATAATCAATTGATCCAGATGCAATTACTTGTTATGACTGTTTTTAATGTGCCATTAAAAGTTATGGACCGTGGTTTGCAGTTCCCAGGTTCTAATAAAGATGTCAAATTTTCCATAACTCTTTACTCTTCTTTAACTATTTTTGTTTGTATTACTTCTGTGTGAAGTAAACTATTTACATAGTTAAAGATGCTAATGGCAATTTCTTTTTTCCAGTGTTGGTGAGGGGGGGGGGTATACCCCTCATCATCCCTCTCCAACTGGAACCAGTTGCCATCAATAACTTCGTTGGTACGAATGTTGAATTGAACTAATTTTTTGACATAAATAGCAACACCGCCAATGTGTCTAGAATGCGATAAACAAGCAGCAACATAATATCCCTGAATACTATACTGATCAAATGATTCAATTCCTACAATATAAGTTTCAGCTAATAAAAATAAAAGTGGACGATTTTCCCCAACAATCTAACGTAATGTTACGTAGTTTTTTGATAATCCCGCAATATTAAAATACAAAAAATCGAATTGATTCACATTCTTGGAACTTGGCTGCTATTTATTGAAACGCAAGCTGCTTTTCTTCAGATCAAAAAGTCATTTATAGAGCAAACATTCAGAGCTAAATGCTACATGGTTGACGTCCAAGTTCATTTTGTTAAGAGTGTAATTTGAGTTTATACCGATTAACAACTACCCAGTTTCTGATAAGCGTGTAGAACAGAAATGTAAAAATAAACTAAATAAGTTTTTATCGAATGTGAAATGAATCACACGAATGAATTGAGGGGAGATGTTTAAGAGTGTAATTTGGACTATAAACTTGTGTATCGACAGCAAGATTCGCCGGAAGGGCTCCTGGCATTTGCGGATGCAGATTGGGGTTACGAACTCAATGATCGACGTTCTGTAGCGGGATTCGTCATCAAGCTAAACGGATCAACGGTTGCGTGGGCAACGAAGAAACAATCGTCGGTAGCTCTGTCGACTACAGAAGCGGAATTGATGGCACTTTGCTTGCCTACACACTTAGATTTTTTTGCCGAGATGGGCACCACCGAGCAGCTCGGCATTTTATTTTGCTGGATCTCAGTGAAAAACTTGCCGAGATTCAGCTAACAAACGGGAATTTTGCCGAGATCTCAGCTAACAAACATATTTTTTGCTGAATTTCCAGCAAAATAAAATGCCGAGCTGCTCGGTGGTGCCCATCTCGGCAAAAAAATCTTAGTGTGTAGCTGTGAGCTAATCTGGGTTGCTAACTTACTTCGATCGATTGGTTGTGACATCAACCGCTGACGGTCTACGAAGATAATCAACCATGCATTGCGTTGACAACGGAACCTCGCAAGCAGAAGCGATTTTTTTTTTTTTTTTTTTTATTATAGTCACTTTAACACTCTTGGGTTATTCGTGACTTGTCCGGGGGTGAGATTTGAACTCGTGACTTTGGCGTGAGAGGTAAGGATGTTAACCACTACGCCGGGGTCGCCGGGAATTGAGGAGGGATGTTAAGAGTGTAATCTGGGTTTATACGAATTAACAATTACCCAGTTTCTGATAAGCGTGTAGAATAGAAACGAATCACACGCTCTCCGAACGTCCTATGTATTAAAACATTTTACGTTCTTTATTCATTTTTAAAAATAACACACATTTAAATAAAGTTGACGTATACTCCGACGTTTTGTGTTTGTTGTGTTGTCACATTTTTTTTGCAATCCATGCGGCAGCCCTAAGTATGCACCTTTAGAATTGATAAAACGATCCATAAAATATTCAAAAACCTTCCAATTAAAAATATCCAAATGAACCATAAAACCTAGGAGAAAATCCTTAAAAAAGTGTGGATGATCCATAAAAAATATCATTACTATCAATATTTTATGTAAAATTTAGCAATACAATTGTAAAAATGTATCACTAAATTTCATAAGAATGAGCATTGAAATTACGAATCACTCATAAACATTTTGCAATTACTCATAAACATTTTGCAATTGATCCATAAAACGTTAAACTAAAGTGATCCATAAAAAAAATCAAGTTTTTTTTTTCCTTTGGTTTGTTTTTTCCGTCGATCTTGTTTTCCGTGCTGAGCACCAATGCTACCGACGTGCCAGGAAGGCAGCTCCCACACCTGGACCCTACCTATCGACCCATCAACTCATGAACTGGGGACCAACGGCTTTACTTCCCATCCGAAGGAAGGCGTGATCAGACATGTTATGCCTCAGAACATCCCGGCGGCGCCGACTGGGCCAGGCCTGCTGGGGTGAGAGGTAATCACGCTTACCACTACACCACCGGCGCCGTTAAAAATCAAGTTTGCGTACTTAAAAATTTTAGGCATGATTCATAAATTAGACGTACATTATTCATGTTTAGGACATTATTTTTTTTTTTTATTTTGATCCATAAACCTTGAAAAATTGTTCCACTGCATATCTACTTAGATTTATTGTCCTGCCCGTGTATTTTAGGTAGAGGTGCGTAGCGGTGGGCAAGCGGCTAGAAGTAACTTCCAATAGAAGATTCTGAAGAAGTTTCCTATCCCAAGTAACAATTTGGGTTTTATGAGGGTTCTGTAGACCATTATTTAGACTTGTAGAATACTTTAAAACCTCAATAAAACTTGCAATGCTAGAAGTAACTTCCAATAGAAGATTCTGAAGAAGTTTCCTATCCCAAGTAACAATTTGGGTTTTATGAGGGTTCTGTAGACCATTATTTAGACTTGTAGAATACTTTAAAACCTCAATAAAACTTGCAATGTTACTTGGGATGGAAGCTTCATTTAGAAACTTCTTTAAGAAGCTTATTCTAGACGCTCGCCCATCGTTCCGCTCTTCTGACAAAAAAAAAACACGGACAGTAAACAGTAAACCTGAGTAGCTACGTAGC